AGTCGTCAGAACAGAGCAGGGTAACACTGCATGGTTCAAAATTGGGAAGGGTGTACGCCAGGGATGTGTCCTATCTCCATACCTTTTCAACCCGTATGCAGAGCAGATTATCCAAGAGGCTGGGCTCTATGAGGAGAAGTGTGGCATCAGGATTGGTGGAAGATCTATTAACAATCAGTGGGTTTACAGAGGCAGTAAATCACATGAACGGAGATTGCCAGTTTTTCTCCTGAGGAGCAGATGGTGGATTCCAACTGCCTATCTTTAATTTAGTAGTGCAACTTCTTATTACTAGGTCACCAGCGCTCCCAACAGAAACTAGCATAGAGTTTGGCAGATACTTGTTGATATTTGATTATTGATAATTGCTCAGTTGGATTCAGTCAGGGAAATAAGCTATTATTAATAAGTCATATAAGAATACTAACATGAAAGAATAGCTTTGCTGATTGTATACAACTAAAATTTGAATAAATAAGAGTAAATTAGACTCCTTACCATTTCAGTAGTCATCACTTTTGTTACAATGTGTGTTATAGTTTTTCCAAAATCTCTTTTTCCTTTTCTACGTCTCAAAATTCTTGGAAAGAAAGCTCCATGAACTCTATAGTGAAAAACAATTTATGATTAAATTAACATTAAAAATTCAGCCTATACTTACAAAATAAAAGTTGGCACTAATCCTCATTAATTCATTAACTATAATGACTTTCAGAGAAATAAAGGAGTTCTGATGGCCTACTCGGTAAGGAATTGTGCTGCCAACCCTATGACAGAAGCTTTGAATCCACCATCTCCTCTGAGAGAAAAAAATGGACATTCTTTTCCAATGAGATTCACAGCCTCTGAAAACCCTTTAGAAGATCAACTATGACTCCAGGGCAATGACTTTGACTTAGAGAAAAGGGCTTCTAGACAGTAATGGAATGATTAAGATAACTGTTTAAATCCTTGAAGTCTAAAATATTTCATCATAAAAGTGAGCACATAGAAATCAGAATGCCACTCACTATACAATCATCAGTCTTCCAATACAGAAGAAAAAAAAATTCTGAATATGCTTTTATAATACACTTAGTAGTAAATTAATACAAAGTAGAGGTGAGTTTCACATGCTACTAAAGCCCAAGCATATTTAGAAATACGCTTAATTTGAATATCCCTTGGACTGCCAAAAATGAATAAAGATGCACAGGGAAAGTGCTCCTTAGAAATGAGGATGGTACTTTGTACACGTATGGGTAGGGCCTAGTCCCCTGAGAAGGATATCTTTCTTGGAAAAATAGAGAGTCAGTGAATGAATTAAAGAGAAACAGGGTTATCCGTGTTGGACAGGTTTTAGTAGAGCTCCCAGATTATTATAGAAAGTAAACATTAAATACAAAGATTAGAAGCATTAGAATATAAAGTTTTATTAAATTGCCCATGAAATAGCTCTAAAGTAGTAAAAAATGGAAAAGAGTTGAAAAAGTTAGATCAAGTGAAACCCCTACCCCCCCAAAAAAAGCTCCAGAGACATATATTAGGAGAAAGGAATGTTGAAGAGAGGATAGAAAAGAAGATATCATTACTAATTTGTATAAATTCTCTAGAAAGAAGATACATGCATTTCTGGATTGATTGAAAAGACCCTCTGTCTAGCATCTCAGTAAAATTTGAAAACATTAGAGCTAAACAAAAGATCCATTCAGTTGAGAGAAAGACACACACACACACACACACACACATGATTTAACACGTTGCCGCACACTTTTAAATTGATGACCATGCTTAGAAACACATTTTTTGCCGTCATTTGTGGCAACGTTTAAAAGATCAAGAGGCAGGAAAGCATCAAACTCGTTATTAATATGACTGCCGTCAAATTGATATTGATTCAAAGAGACCTTTCGTCAGGTTTCTGTGACTATAAATCATTACAAGAGACGTTCATCTATTTTTGCAGAGCAGCTGGTAGCTTCAAGCTACTGGCCTTCTAGTTAGCAGTGCAACATATTACTCAGTCTAGAGTGTTTAGAAACTGCTAAGGGATTTTGTGTTTAATAACAAATTTGTTGTCATTATTTTAATCTAAACTATGTTTGTGTATAAAATTAATTTTTTAGAAAAACTAAATTTTTAGGGAGCTCTGGTGGCCTAGTGGGGCTTCGTCTGACATACGTGGCCAAAAAACTACACTGGATTCTTTGAGATACGTGGTTCGAGTCCACCA